CGGTGGTGGTGTTGCGAAGCATTTCTGAGTCGCCCTCATACCATGTTGTGATCAGAAGGTAGATCGTGTCTAGGAACATCTCAAGAAGGTTCGCAAAATCAGAATATTTGCAGCGAAAGATTGTGACCTCATATCAGAGTGAATTTAAAATGACTAAGATGATGAATCAAGAAAATACAGCAGTTTATATAGTAGTATAGGGGAATAAGAAAGGTCATAGTCTTGCCATTTACTCTAAGGGGTACATTCCCTTATTCAAACGCATTTAAACCCAACCGTGCGGTGCGTACAGTTAGGGCGTGTAAATTCTAACGCCCAAAGCGAATGGTCGACCATTGGGGCAGTACTGGCGATTGCGAAACCTGTAACACATAAGCGAACCCCGCCAAACATTTCGTCATAAACAGGGGCACCCACCCCGAACCACCCTCTTATTTAATAGCGAAAGTTTTGATTTCATTTTACTGTATTCGAATGGGGTGTGGAATGCAAGGGGATTGGAAGCCCATATTAGGGTGTTTAACAAAGCAGGAGGTTTAAACAAGCACGAGTATTTTCTTCTCGCTGGGGACAGAACTAGGTAGGTCCCGAAAATGCGGTGCGGACATTTCTATACGGGAAATACCATAGCAATTCGGTCAAATTGGGGTGACTACTCGAATGAGCGTAACCCTAATACCTCGCAATCGCCAAAACCGCCCGAATGGTCGACCATTCGCTTTGGGCGTTAGAATTTTACACGCCCTTACGAAACTGTTTCTGCCATTTTCCTTCCTTCTGCCACTTCCGGATGTTGACTTCTCCGACAGTCCAGATGTTTTCCGACGGTCTGCGTCGCTTTGACACTTCGCCTTTGTACTCTCTTATGTCTTCTCCATTCTTGCTACTAGCAGAAATGCACAGTGTCAGAATATTATGCTCTAGCCTGTAGTGGGGTGCTCTATAGCGAGTACAACCCTTCTAGGGTTTGCTATTTGTATCCTCATTCTTTCTAGTGAATCGCCTCTCCTTCTTTCACCTAAACTATCGTTTGCCTAGCTAGGGCTTTCCTAGCTTAGGCTCCTAAGACTACCTCCTGTTCTCACATGTTATCAGAGCTACATGCTCCTGGCCTGTGGGCCCCACTTCACTGCTTCCGCTGCTACTGCTACTCCCTGTCCGCCGCGCGCCCCGTGGTGCGCGGCGTTGACTTAGGGTTTTCAGCCCGCCGTGCGCCCCGAGGCGCGCGGCGGTTTTCTGCCCGCCGTGCGCCCCGAGGCGCGCGGCGGTTCTCTGCCCGCCGTGCGCCCCGAGGCGCGCGGCGGGTTTCTGCCCCGTCACTCGGCGCGTCGCCCCCGGGAGGCGCTGCGACGGGCGACGGGGACCCGCGCGTCGCCCCCCGTCGCCCGTCGTGGCCTGCGCGCGGCCCGTACAGCCGGCGTGCGGCCCGTACGGGCTGCGCCAGGCCTGCGCGCGGCCCGTACGGGCTGCGCCAGGCCCGCGCGCGGCCCGTACGGGAAGCGCCAGGCCCGCGCGCGGCTCGGGCCGCCTGCGCGCGGTTCGGGCGGCTATGCCAGGCCCGTGGGCGGCCCGTTCCTCGCTGCCCCTGCCCTCCCCACTGTCCCCCGTGCTTCTACTGGCGCCCCACCCCTCCTACAGCCCGTTCTCCTGAATTAGGGTTTGGGGGTGAGGGGTATGGGGGTGAAGCCACTGAGTGCCGTTCCCTGTTCCTCCTCCTCCTCCGTCTCCCTGTGCTGCAGCTGCCGCTGAGGGGGGGTGGACTTGTTGGAGCCGTTGGAGTGGTACTAAGGGGGGGTGAAGGGGGAGTGGAGCTAGCGGTGTAGCAGCGGGTGTGTGTCAGGGGGAGTGGGATAGTTTGGGGAGGTTGAAGGGGGTGGCCGCCGTCAAGCCAGCAGCTCCAGTCGCCCGTGAGACCGTTGCGCCAGTCGCCCGTGAGCCCGTTGCTCCAGTCGCCCGTGAGTCCGTTGCTCGTCTGCCGCTACTTTTAGCCGCGGAGCCAGTTACTCCAGTAGCCCGTGTGCCAGTTGCTCCAGTTGCCAGTGTGCCAGTTGCTCCAGTTGCCCGTGTGCCAGTTGCTCCAGTTGCGCCGTGTGCCAGCAGCTTCAGCTGCCGCCCACTACCTCCTCTCCTCTCATAGTCTCTTTCCTCCTCCTCACTTGCCCGTTGTGACTACCACTAGCTTTGCTCATAATTGTGAACTTTAAACTATTGCTTCTTGAACTTGTGCTCAGAATGTGTGGTGACATTGTGATCCACCCTGGGCTTGTACTGCTTTGCTTGCTCTGCTGATTACACCCCACTTTGGCTATGGGGGTGTGTCAGAATATTATGCTCTAGCCTGTAGTGGGGTGCTCTATAGCAAGTACAACCCTTCTAGGGTTTGCTATTTGTATCCTCATTCTTGCTAGTGCATCGCCTCTCCTTCTTTCACCTAAACTATCGTTTGCCTAGCTAGGGCTTTCCTAGCTTAGGCTCCTAAGACTACCTCCTGTTCTCACACACAGTAATGTTTTTCAATTCACTATTCATAACACATCATGGAGGTGGAGGAAAGGTGTGATTGTATATATAATATTTGAGAGCTATTATATGATTGGGTACATTTATTTTCTTTAATTTTTGGGGTAGTAGTTTGAAGATATTAATAAGTGGGAAATAGACGTGTTTTGCATTTATTAAGAAGAAAAAAAACATAAAAAATAATACAAAAAAGACTCTTCTATTTTATTAAATCTAAGAAAATGAATGTTCTTGTTTGTATATTATGGTTTTTCTTCCTATCTGAATCCCGACAAATAAGTAATTGCTTGTGTCTCTCATCGGACAAACGGACGTCGGTCCCGTTTGCCAGGAACGTCGGGCCCAACATCGCCCCTCCCACCGACGGGTCGGGGGACTGCCTTTCCTGCCAGCTGGGCCTCGTCGTCACCCTCGTCATACGCACCAGTTTCCCATCCTACCTGAACCACCCTGTTCACGCGCATGTTCTATATTAGCGGTGGGGTTTCCACCTGCATCCGCGCAAGCGCACGCGAGCACAAACTTGCTATCGAAAAGCGTGTGCGAATACAAAAAAAACAGGCAAAAGAAACAGTCCCAGACAAATTTTGCACACGCGACCAGTGCGACGCACCTGAAGAAAACAATTTCTCTTGCGTCGGGCGTTTCACGCCGACGTTCAGCTTTGCCAGCCGTCGCTTATCGCTAGGCGTAAGCAATGCGTTACTCCGGCGTGGATCATGCATGCGATTGGGGACTTATGCCAGCTCTCTGGTCTCCACGTGGCTCGTAATGCTGACACAATCGCCGAAGAAGATTCTCGCGCCTGTTCTTCCATCTAATGAACCCTCGAATTCCGCCAAGTGTACTCAGCTTCATGACGAAGAACATGCATCGCCGCGCAGGGACACAAGTCCAACGAATCATGTCTTTTGGAACCACGCAACAAACCTCGACTGACGAATCGATTGGTCCTGCCATGCATGAGACACAACCGTTCACGCCGATTGGCGGACGTTGCGTGATCCGACTTCGAGGCTGCTTGTGCCGTCTTTTGCTAGGGGTATATCCTGGAGATGCTGCATCATTTTCTCATTTTCCTTGTCTGAAACCTTTTTTTCTTTGTCTTCCAAGCTCGCCGCCTCCAGTCCTCGTCCCGTTTTCTTGTGTGCCCTCGCTTTGCCTCCCTTTTCTTTCAAGGGGGCCGTGCGTGATTTTGTTCCTCGCGTTTTCCCACGACGCTTGCGCATAGTTTGTCATCTCCTTGGTCGCTTGGTTGAGTTCCGCACCACCTCCTTCACGTCGCCGTCCTAGTTTCCCGTGCAGAAGCTTTCGATCTCACCTTCCTCTCTCACGAGCAATAGTGTCAGCTTTACTTTTGCATAAGATGGCTGATCATACGGAGTCACACGGCGAGGGCGGTGAACCGCTGCACAAGTTTAAACCCTTCCGCTACTCTCCGCGGCGAGACACGACACTCGCTGTCACGGCCCTCGATCATGAATCGATCGTTCATTCCAACACAAAGTAAACTCCAGCAGACATGACGCTCGCGGTGATGTAAGTGGAAAAAATCTATCTTGTGGTGTTGCTTTGTTTCAGGTGACCATACAGAAGGTGTGCCCTGATATCCGTGACCATTCACTAATATTGCAGGCACGCAGAGACTATGTTGGAGGAGCGTGTGAACACTTGAATTGTTCCCGCAGAGGTTATTTACAAGAACATTGAGTCGCCATCCAAGAACCCCATTCCGTCCACGTACCGAGTGGTCGGACCTCCGTGGTCGCCTCGCCCATCGTGACGTCGTAAGTTTCTGTTCGCGTCGCTTGGTTCTTTTTTCCTTCGCATGTGTGCCGTTATGGTCATCGTGCTAACACTGTCGGTGATATTTGCCTTTGTGCAGGATCGGTGCATTTTCGGGGAGGCACTGCAGTATGATTTTGGTGGCCTACGCATCGGATCTTACCTCTGTTGGTGTGAACCGCACTGTCTTGATGCACGTTGACCCGAAGGCGAGGTTCGAGGCTCAGGCCCTCACGGTGAAGGCGGTTCACGCGTGAGAAGCTTTGCGACCGAGAATCATAAAGGTCAGGCGCATAAACGAGTGTATGCTTGTGTACGAGTACTAACATGTGTATGTGCTGCGTCGCATGAGCAGGTGGCTCGATTCTACAGCTCGAGTTTAGGCGCTTGGCAGTTTCGGTGGCAAAGGCTTCGTTCCCCCTTCCGCGGAATACGTCGAGGAAAGGCTCAGGCCATGGAAAACCTCTTTCGGCTGGTGAGTTGTGAATGTTGTCATGCAGACGTGGCTGACGAGATGATCGATTGATATGTCGGTGCTGGGCTTGACGGTTCTTCTCATGTCTATGCAGAACATCGGGCAACTCATTGAGTCAGCGGCGATTAGCGGGCTCCGCGTGGTGGAGATTTACAGGTGGTTGCTCATCCGCCTCGACGCTGCCATCGCGAACCCCGCCACGATTAACACCAGCAAAGCCATGAAGGACTACAGGAGCATGCGGAAGCTGCTTGCCTTGCACGTGGACGGTGTTGCGGCCAACGCCACACCTTTGGACGATGGCCCACATGCGAGCGCGACAGAGAGGGCGCCGTCAAAGGATGTCTCCCCTAGTGGTCCTCCGCTACCAGCACAACATGCTGGTGGACCACCTACTGCATTAGGTGGATCCAAGGAGACGACACCCGTAGAGACTGCACAGGCAGAGGCCGCGCATGTTGCACAGTCAGGTGGGGAGGGGTTGCACGAGAATGAGGCGGCGAAGGAGAATAACAAGAGAGCGAAGGGAAACGATGCACAGGTGGCTGATGTGGCGGTGGAGAGGAAGGACAAGAAAAGGCGGCACGAGAGGAGGTCAGAGGAGGAGAAAAGCAGCGGCGAGCATGCGCGTTTGGAGTTGGGTAGGACGGAGCAGCTGCTGGCGGAGGAAAGGGCGAAGGCGGGAAAGCTTGTGTCGCACGTGAATACGCTGGTGAATAACGTCGAGCGTGTGACAACGTCGGCCAACAAGACGCTGGACCGGGCTGCACGAATAGAGGGTGCCATTACGGATGGTGTGCAGCAGGTGGTCCAACAAATTGCGGAGCAGAAAACGGTAGCGGAGATATCGCGAGGCAAGATTGAAAACGCGGTAGCAAGCTTGCGCAATAGTGTTGGCGAAACCCGAGTCGAGCTGAAGACGCTTATTGAGAAGACCCTGGGCGAGATGAAATCATCGTTCGACAGTTCGGTCGCTGGAGCTCTGACACAAGCAGCGGAGCAGCTTTTGGGCACCCTGGGAGCGACCACCCTCGCTCGGGTGGAGCCACACGTGCAGGAGTCTGTGTAGAAGGCCGTTAAGAAAGCCGTGGAGGGGTTGGCGAATGCCATTTTACAAGCGGTGGTGAAGCAGGTGGACGAGGGAGTGGCGCGGGCAACATGGGGCTTGAGGGAGAAAGTTGTTGCACAAGTTGAGGAGGCGACCCGCGCCGCTTTCGCCAAAGCCAGATTCGAAGCTCTCCCGGCGGTTTTCGGTACGGCGACCGCGATGGTGCGTCACGGTATGGGGAAGTTGGTGGTGTGGATGGAAAGTCGCGACCCGACGATGCCAGTGTCACGCGTGGGGGGAAGGTCGGGGGGGACTGGGCTCGCGGGGCCAAGATCCACGGCGACACCTCGCGCAGATGTGTTTGAGCAAGTGGTGGGTGCGGCCACTGTTAGGCATGCCGCCCACGACGTAGCTGCGGGTGCGCAGACGATGCTTGGGAGGGTTTCCGCACCACGCGTGGTGGGAGTGGGCGGTCTTGGCGAAGCCCCTACTCCTCGCCCTGGCAACTTAAAGGGCATGCGGGAGGCACCGACAAGAAGTGTGCGGGCCGATTTCCCTGGTGCGGTAGCAATGCCCCGTGGTGAGGCGCTGGTGGGGCTCCAGACGATGAGCCATGTGCCCACAGAAGTTGCCGGACCGAGCATTCACCCGTCCGCTGTTTCGCAAGGTGGGCCGACGATTCCCTCCACGGACGCTAGACAAGCATCAGGGCAGCCATGCAACACCCACATGCCGCGGATGCTGTACAGACGACGAAAATAGGCTTCGCTGCAGTCAGGGCCGATCTAAACATTATGAAGGGTGCTAGTGAGGCCGACGGTTCATCACGTCCGAACGTGGGTGCTTCTGCGCAGGCAGGGGCCTTTATCGATCTTGATGTGGGTGGTGGTAGTGTCGAGGAGGGTGTTGTCGTGGAGGAGATGTTCGACGCTAGGATCGCGGAATACGTGCCCATGGAAGAAGATGTGGGCAAACCCGCACCCGATCCCGAGGCTGTTGACGCGCGTGATGAAGTTCCTGCTGAGGGTGGGGATGCGAGTGAAAGTGGAGGGACCGAAGGTGCTACGGCCGATGAGGGTGGACATGCCACGAAGGAGGACAAAGGTCATAAAGGGTGCGGCATTCGGGTGGACCGAGATAAAATAGGGTGGAACGCGGACCTCATCCTTGGCGGTCGTTCGCGCTATCTCGGCTAGTCTACGTCACGGACGTGGAGTTAACGGTGTCAGTGGCGATGATCGTTTGGGACGGGCGCATATCTCGAGCTGTGTGAATTCTACCACGACAGCTCTCGGCCGATCGCGCACCCTGAATGGCACGGCCGAGTGGGCCATTGCTCGGCTACTCCCCAAGGGTCTTTGGACGGGAATGTGGGCTCGCAGTATTTTTGTCGCGCACACAAGGTGACTTTTACATCCTTCTGCAGATGGTGTGTTTTCCTGTTGGTCTGCATTTTTTTTTTTTTTTAACTTACGCATCGACACTTTATGTTGTGTTTTTGGTCGTGCAGGATCCGTGATTTCTTCCAACGAGTGTCGACGCCCTCTCCTCCCGGTGGTGACTTCGCGTCCAGAGTGTGCGTCGCGATTGGCCATGTGGCGGCCAAGCTTGAGGCTGCGGACGAGCACGCCGCCGTGGCCAACGGGGAGATTGTTACGGCCACATTTGCTGCTGCATGGTACATGGTTTCGGAGGGAGATACGGCTGTGGCAGATGCATGGGGAGCTTCTGTGGCGCAGCGCCTTGACTCTCGTAATGAGTTTTAAGATCTTCCGTACATATTTCGGCAGGTCATTGAGGCGACAATGCACGGTCATCTTCCACAACAAGAACGTTGCAACATCTGCAGATGCAAGATTGATGTTCTGGCCCAGTGGGTTGTGCATCAGACTCTGCATACGCTTGCGTGTTGGGCGGATAGTCCTCACGGTCGCACGGAAATGGCGAAGCGGTCTCTTGTCGTTCCCCTGACGGCAGAGATGTCACGGACAACAGCTCATCGCATGAAGCGGTCGTACAGGGGTGGAAGAGTGTCACTCGTGGTGTCTGCACCCCTGCCAAACCGAAGGGGCTCGGCGGTAGTGGTGGACGCAAAGGGGGGCCTGCTTGACAAGCTTGATTCCTGCTTATTCCATTTGCAGGAGTGTGGGTTGTGGTCAGTGGGACATTGCGTAGGCAGGATGTGCGTGAAGACCATTTCCGGACCTTTTGTTTTTGTTTGGTTTGAATTTGCGTTTCTCTGCGGGTTGTCACCCTGAATAGACGTGTTTGGATTTTCCCTATGAACCGTTTCAGACTCGTTTCGTTTTTCTACAACCTCGTTGCTTTGTTGGGGTTTTTGAAGTTTACAAACTCCATTGGGTACGCATCGAAAAAATAGATAAAGACTCAAAGATGATAAGACTATTGTGGATAAGATTAACGTCGGCCAAGCAAGCACGATCCACGGTATCACATCCTTCTACCACGTGGCCCTTTTTATCCTCTGTGCCTCATTTGTCAAAACATTGTTGTAGGCTATAGTGGGGTAGCCTATATGGGGTACAACCCAGTTTAGGGTTAGTACTTGTACCAAACCCTGTCATAGTTCATTCATTCCTGCTGTTCATTCTGACATGGTATCAGAGCAGGTCCTGTCCCAGGACCGTTCTCGTTAGGGCCCACCGATCGTATTCTGCCCGTCGCGCTGCCCCACCACACGCGCATGCCCTGCCCTGCGTTGCGCCGCCCCGCGCACGCCCTGCCCTGCCCTGCGTTGCGTCGCGCTGCCCCGCGCACGCTTTGCCCTGCATCGCGCGCCCCGCGCATGCCCTGCCCTGCGTGGCGCTGCCCCGCGCACGCTCTGCCCTGCGTCACGCGCCCCGCGAACGCCCTGCCCCTGCTGCGCGTCGCGTCGCGCACCCGTGCTGCCCATCGCGCCGCGCGCCCCTGCTGCCTGTCGCGTCGCGTCGCCCGTGCGGGCTGCCCCAGCCCGTCGCGTCGCCCGTCCGCCCTGGCCCTGCCCGTCGCGTCTCCCGTGTGGGCTGCCTTGCCCGTCGCATCGCCCGTGCGGGCTGCCCTGCCCGTCGCGTCGCCCATGTGGGCTGCCCTGCCCGTCACGTCGCCCGTGCGGGCTGCCCAGCCCGTCGCGTCGCCCGTGCGGGCAGCCCTGCTAGTCGCGTCGCCTGTGCGGGCTGCCCTGCCCGTCGCGTCGCCCCAGCCCATGGGGGCTGCCCCAGCCCGTCGCGCGACCCGTGCGCGCCCTGCCCTGTCCGCGCACCGAGCTTCCGCCCTGCCATGCCCGTCACGCGGCTCGCGCGCGCCCTGCCCTGCCCACACGCCGCGTCTTAGCCCTGCCCTGCCAGTCGCGCGGCCCGTGCACGCCCTGCCCTGCCCGCGCACCGTGCATACGCCCTTCCCTGCCTGCACGCCGACCTACTTCCAGTGCGCCGCCCTGCTCTGGCCGCGCACCGCCCTTCCCTGACCGTGCACCGGCCCACCCTACCCTCCGCGCTAACCCTAGTGCCTGATCGCCGCGTCTACGCCCTGCCCGCTATGACTTCTCTTCGTGGTAGCTGTGAGAGTGGTGGCGGCGGCCGTGGTAGCAGTCGCGGTGGAGCTGTTCAGTGGGGAGTTTCTGGCAGTGGCCAGATGCAGCTGCAGCAGCGTCCGCGCGAGACCCTTACGTCTCGGCAGCTTCATGATTGGTTAGCTCAGTGTGACCCTGGGTGTACTGCTCGCTGCCCGTACGTCATTCGCACTGGTGACCGCGCTGGTCAGACCTACAGGACATTTGGCCACACACAGTCCCGCTGCTTCGCCTATCTGAGCGACGCCTGGCGCGCAGAGTTTGGCGTCGCGGCTGAGCTCCCCCACTAGTTAGAGCTGCGTCGGCGCGGTGTGGATATATTTGCTCTAGACTATGACGTTATCCCTACGGCTATGTACGCTTTGCTTGCTACACTGAGGGTGACTGCTACCTGTGTGTGCCGCCCGACCCAGGTATAGCGGCTGCTGCTCTAGGTGCTAGTGCGTCTGCTCTCTTTGGTACAGAGGCTGCTGCTCTGGGTGCTAGTGAGTCTGCTCTCTCTAGTACTGCGCCTGCTGAGGCCTTGTGTCACAGGATCGAATTTCCACTCGAGAATGTTGCACTAAAGGTGAGTACAAGGCGTATTTATACTCGGAAATACATAGAAACAAGCGATAATCCGAACCTTCGGGAACGCGCTCTTCTAGGATAGATAATCACTAGTGCGCATAAGCACGCAAGCCCATTGGCACATTGGATTATGGCGAGATTACGCCTTGTACACCACCGTCGGTGCTGTCGGTGCCGTATAATGTAATTGTCGGTGCCGAAAATACAAATAAGTGAAATGTTAGGAAAGCTCTAGAAAATAGAATAGTAGTCCGATTGAGGTGAAATAAAGTGCAAATGAAAGAGGAAAATAAGGAGAATAAGATATAGGAAAAATATGGAAATGAGAAATATGTCGAACGTCAACGTACACTTACATTTCCCCCCCTCAAAGCTGGGTGGTAGATGTAACACCCTGCTTGACAAGGTAGTCTCGGAGAGAACGTCGGGCGTTACTCATGTCGTGTTCAGAGACGCAGCTGTCTTCGGAAGGATCATAGCCCTTCCAACGTATGAGAAACTCCTGGGTGCAATGCCGACGACGACGATGGGCAAGCACAGATTCGACTTCGTACTCAGGTTCATCATTCACGAGGACTGGAGGCGGCGGCGGAGGTTGGCGTCCCGTGTACAGCTTATTTGGATCCCGATAGGGTTTAAGAAGCTGCACGTGGAAGGCATTATGAATCTTCCAAGTAGCTGGTAGGCGCAAGCGGAATGTGACTGGAGTGACCTGCTCTTCTACGAGGAAAGGTCCGCAGAAGCGAGGTCGCAACTTGGATGGAAGGTGACCGAGGTTGAGGTTGCATGTGTCAAGAAGTACATGGTCACCAACCGCAATGGTATGATCACGGCGATGGCGATCGGCCGAGCGTTTCTGTGAAGACTGTATGTCCTTCAGGCGCTTGTGTGTCCGATCCCAAAGCTGCTGCATTGTGGTAACGAAGTCAGGCGCTTGCTGGACGCTTGCAGGTACTGTTGGCTGCTGTGGAGTTAGCGGATGTCGACCGTAACAGAGGAAGAATGGAGTCTCTCCTGTTGCGGCATGCCTCGCATTGTTGTAGGCGAACTCCAACACCGGCAAGTGCAAGTCCCACTTGCTAATGTCGTCCTTGCACGCTGCGCGCAAGAGTTGTTCCACAATCTGGTTCAAGCGCTCTGTCTGCCCATCGGTCTGGGGATGATATGCAGATGACATCGCCAGGCGTGTCCCCATGAGCGACATGAGCTCTTTCCAAAACTTGCTAGTGAACTTGGGGTCCCTGTCGGATATGAGCGTTGTTGGGATCCCGTGCTGTGAGATGATGTGCTTGACGAACAGCTGTGCCGTTTCCTCCGTGCGTGCGGTTGTATGCGTCGGAATGAAGTGTCCCATCTTTGAGAATTTGTCGATGACGACCAGGATGGCGTCATGCCCCGCTTTGGTAGGTGGTAACCCAGTGATGAAGTCCAAACTCACAACTTGCCAAGGCTGTTCCGAGACGGGCAGAGGCAGAAGAAGTCCTGCTTTCTTCTGCTTACTGCTCTTCATCCGTTGGCACGTGTCGCACGATGTGACAAACTTTTGCACGTCGTCTGCCATGTGAGGCCAGTAGTAGACTTTTGCAATCCCAGCAAGGGTCTTGTTACTCCCGAAGTGTCCAGCGTAGAGCACATCGTGGAACTCCTCAAGAAGCAACTGCCGAAGAGGTGGGTAATTGGGTACCCATATCTTTGTTGATCCTTTGCGTAGTGCGATGTCGTGGTCCCACTGCAGCAATTTCTTCTTCTCTGCCAAGGGAATCTCGGGGTCGATAGTGTACCCGTGTGAAAAGAGTCCCTTAAGTAGTGGATTCATCCACTCAACCTGTATGGCGGCAACGTGTCCAGGCCGGCTCAGTGCGTCTGCCTTATTCTTGTGTCCCGGCTTGTACACGATGTCGTAGTCGAAGTGTGTCTCGAGGAAGTCGATCCACCTGACCTGTCGTCTGGAGAGAGTAGGCTGCGTCTTTAGGTACTTCAGACTACAGTGGTCGGTGTAGACCGTGGTCTTCCTTCCTTCGAGGTAGCATCGCCATGTCTTGAATGCGGTGATGATCGCTAAGGCCTCTTTGTCGTGAATCGGGTAGTTGAGTTCTGCCCCGTGCAATTTCTTGCTGAGGTAAGCGATTGGTTGTAGTCCTTTCCCTTGGTCTTGCATCAAGACTGCTCCAACTGCTTGGTCGCTAGCATCAGCTTCGATGACGTAGTCTTTTTCTAGGTCTGGCAGGATAAGTACGGGTGCGGATGTGAGTGCGGTCTTCAACTGCTCCATGGCTTGCTGATGCACTTCCTCCCACTTGAAAGGTGAATTCTTCTTCAATAGATTGGTGAGAGGTGTTGCAATCTTCGCATACTGTGGCACGAACCGATTGTAATAGTTCGCGAAGCCAAGGAATTGCTGAAGTTCCTTCACGTTCTCTGGCGTCTTCCACGTACGCACGGCTTCGATCTTCTTTGGGTCGACATGCACTCCTTGAGCGCTCACCATATGTCCAAGAAATTGAATTTTCTTTAAAGCAAACTCACTCTTGGATAGCTTGACATAGAACATGTTGGGTTTGTTGCGTCTGCCTTGGTTGCTGAGCTTGTTGACTTTGCTGCTGCCTGTCGTCTAGACTACGCCGCTAGTCTTGTTGCTGAGTCTGAGTCTGTCTGTCCTCCGTCCGTCGGGGGTGAGTGTGCTCTTAGCACGGACGTCTTTGAGGACAGGCAGGAGGAGTTCTAGTGTCTTGCTGCTGCTTTACCTCATCTTGTGTCCTCGCTACTTGCCCCTGAGGGAGACCCGGATGCACCAGACATCCCGACTCCGCGCTCTTACGCAGAGGCGATAGAGGGTCCCTACTCCTCTCAGTGGCAGGCAGCCATGGACGCAGAGATGGCTTCCTGGAAGTCCACAAGCACCTACGTTGATGAGGTTCCCCCACCTGGGGCGAACATCGTCAGTGGCATGTGGATTTTCAGGGTGAAGCGGCCGCCGGGTTCTCCGCCTGTCTTCAAGACCCGTTACGTGGCTCGAGGCTTCAGTCAGCGAGAGGGAGTTGACTTCTTCCAGACCTTCTCCCCCACCCCGAAGATGACCACTCTTCGGGTGCTGCTGCACGTTGCTACTCACCGTGACTACGAGCTTCACTCTCTTGACTTCAGCACAGCTTTCTTGCAGGGTAGCCTGCACGAGGAGATCTGGCTGCGCCGCCCCCCGGGCTTCACTGGGTCGTTCCCTCCTGGTACCCAGTGGAGCCTCCGGCGGCCGGTCTACGGTCTCCGCCAGGCGCCGCGTGAGTGGCACGACACACTGAGGACTACGCTTGCGGCTCTTGGGTTTGCGCCTTCTACTGCTGACCCATCGCTGTTTCTGCGCACCGACACTTCCCTGCCGCCGTTCTACATCCTCGTGTACGTCGACGACTTGGTTTTTGCCACTGCTGACACTGAGGCTCTCGCCCACGTGAAGTCGGAGCTGCAGAAGAGACACACGTGCACAGACTTGGGTGAGCTGCGCAGCTACCTTGGCTTGCAGATCACCCGAGACAGAGCACGTCGCACCATCACCTTGACTCAGTCACACATGGTGCAGCAGGTCCTTCAGCGCTTCGGCTTCACCTGGTCTTCAGCACAGGCCACTCCTCTGGCTACAGGTCACACGCTCTCAGCTCCACCTTCGGACGAGTCCGTAGAGCCGAGTGGTCCTTACCCAGAGCTAGTCGGCTGCCTCATGTACCTGATGACTTGCACTCGACCTGACCTCGCGTACCCTCTTGGTCTCCTGGCTCGCTACGTGGCTCCTGGTCGGCACCGACCTGAGCACATGGCTGCTGCTAAGAGGGTACTGCGTTACTTGTGCAGCACATCAGGCATGGGGCTAGTGCTTGGAGGGACGAGCCCAGTTGTCCTCACTGGGCACTCAGACGCTTCTTGGGTTGACGACCTGGCTACTCAGCGGTCGTCACAGGGTTACACCTTCAGCCTTGGCTCTGGTTCAGTTTCGTGGCGTTCTACACGCTCGTCTTCAGTTCTCGGCTCCAGTTGTGAGGCTGAGATCTACGCCACCGCCATGGCTGCACAGGAGTTACGCTTGCTCACCTACCTGCTGACTGACTTGGGAGAGCAGCCTCGTTCTCCTCCAGTGCTGTACGTTGACAACAAGGCCGCCATTGCCTTGTGTGAGGAGCACAGACTGGAGCACAGAACGAAGCACATTGCTCTGCGGTACTTCCTGGCTCGAGAGTTGCAGCAGCGAGGCCAGCTTCGTCTTCGCCACGTGGCCACTCGGGCCAACACTGCTGATATATTCACCAAGGCACTTCCGTCTGGTGATCATCAGCGCTTTTGTACTCTGTTAGGCCTTGTGCCTACGTTTCCACACTTGCTGTAGTCTCTGCTTGTACTGTGATCTGTACATATATATATATGCATGCTGGCTCTTGCTAGGTAGCCATCACTGTACTGTTATTGCTGCATATATATCTCTGCATGTGAACTGGCCCTGTGGCCCTTTGCTTGTGCTCGGAATGCGTGGTGACGTTGTGATCCACCCTGAGCTTGTTTTGCTTCTCTTGACTGGTCGTGTGACCTCTTGTTCTCCCCCACTTTGCCTATGGGGGTGTGTCAAACTATATGTGCTGCATATTGTCTAGGCTGTAGTGGGGTAGCCCATATGGGGTACAACCCAATTAGGGTTTACTACTTGTACTCCTGCATCCTGTTAGTTCAATCATTCCTGCTGCTAGATTCTAACATCTCAGTCATTTTAAATTCATTTTATTCACTGTATTCTCTCTGTATTTTTTCTCTGTCATTTGCTTGTATTTATATTCACAATCTTCCGCTGCAAATATTCTGATTCTGCGAACCTTCCTGAGGTGATCCTAGGCATGATTTACCTTCTGATCGTAACATCGTGCAAAACAGGTGAGCCCACAGAACCATGCACAATCTGAATCTGAATCTTTCCTATCTAGTGGTGTTGCTGGCAACGGTGGTAACGTTGCACACTCAAGGTGTTTTAACTCCTGCCTATTGATTGGCGGCAAACACCGCGCCAGCCAGTAGAGGAGATTCGGTACACCAGATGCTGCTGCTGCTGGCAGGGAAGGCGAGCTGGCAAGGGAATGCCCTGTGAGTACCTGTGTGCTAGCATATCCAAATGCATCTCATTAAGAGGCGGCAAACACGGCGCCAGAATCCATGATTGATACACCACGTGTTACTGCTGGCTGGCAGGGAGAGTGGCAGTGGCGCTGCTTGCAGTGGTGGTAAGCTCGCACCCTCAACGTGTTTCTGAGTGTTATCTACTGAGTGGCAGCAAACACAGCGCCAGTGTCCGAGATTTGATATACCAGGTGCTGCTGCTGGCAGGGAGGGTGGTGTGTGCCATCTCTGTGCAATGAGCCATGCAGCAGTGTGGGTGTGAGATGAACAATGTCCGCCTGGTGTGGCAAAAGGGAGAAGAAGGGGCGGGGTGCAGAGAGATGGCAAAAGGGGGGGGTGCAGAGAGCACGGGGAGTTCAGGGAGGGATGCACCATCTCCGCGACATGGGCCGTGCAGCAGCGTGGGTGTGAGATGCAATATGCCTGACTGGTGTGGCAGGTGGAGAGAGGGCATCGAGAGGGGAGGGGAGAATGGTGAGAGGAAGAGTGGGGGGCATCAGTGGCAGCGCCTGTGCGGTTGGTGCCACACTGTGTGGGATAAGGACGAACGGGGAGGCATAGTGTGCATCATCATCCCCATGCTATGGGCCGTGCAGCAGCGTGGGCATGAGATACATGACGTCTGCCGGTGTGGCAGGAAATGGGAAGGAGAGCAGGGAGTGAGGGAGAGAATGGGAGTGAGAGGAATCGAGTGAGTGAGCGGGGGCGAGGGAGTTTGCAGGTTCGCAGCAGGCCTGGGGAGGAGCTGCAATGCGAGGGTCAAGGGTGCAAGAGTACATATTGCTCCCTCCCTCCCTCCCCAGGGGTCAAGCTTCACTATGCCCTCACAACCTTGTACATTCCATCTGCCCATGTACTACCTCACCTGCCCGTGAACATCTGATGCGTGGCCTGATGTAAGTGGTCTCAGCAGCACAAGCACATCAGAGAGATGCAGCAGCCAGGGCAGGAAGGAAGGTGAGGCGATGGGGGAGGAAGCGGAGGAGGAGGAGGAAAGGGTGGGGAGCGGTGGTGGTGGGGGAGGAGCGAAGGTGAAGGTGGTTGGATGGACGGCTGTATGGGTGAGAAGCACGAGAGAGGCCCTCTGTAAAGACAGGGAGAGGCAAGGAGAAAAAGAGGTGAGAGAAGAGAGTGAGAAACAAGGGAGGGGAGGAGGGCGCACAGAGTGGAGAGCGGTGGGCGTGCCGTGCAGGTGGTTGCATGCACCGCTGTATGGGTGAGAAGCACGAGAGAAGCTCTCTGGAAGGAGGGGAGGGGGGGAGGGGAAGAGGAGGGTGGAGTAGAGAGACGAAGGGGAGTGGCAATGGTGGTGAAAAAGGGAGCACAGGAAGGAGGGAGGTGAAAGTTGTTAGATGGACAGCTGTACGGGTGAGAAGCACGAGAGAGGTCCTCTGAAAGGACAGGGATACCGGGGGGGGGGGGGGGGAGTAATATTTGCGAAGAAAAGTTGGTGAGATGCTTTCCTTGTACTTTGCATCATGCACTTTTGAGACGTCTCAAAAGTCATGCACGTGCTGAGTGCCTAGATACTGAGTGCTTAGATAATGAGTGCTTAGATACTGAGTCTACGTTACATTGCGCTTGGTATGCGTGCATGGCGCATGGTTTGACAGAGTGCATGGCGAAACAAGTGTGCAGGTATATCACCAACAGTGCCAATACAAAAAAAAAAAAAAAAAAAAAAAAAAAAGGTGCAAACACCAACAGTGATACGATTGCTTACATGGTGCTGGAGGGGGGAATGGGGAGGGGAGGGGGGAATGGGGAGGGGAGGGGGGAATGGGGAGGGGAGGGTGGAATGGGGAGGGGAGGGTGGAATGGGGAGGGGAGGGTGGAGTAATTTGTGCAACGAAACAGTGGTGGGAATGTCCATGCATGCCGCATGGTTTGACAGAGTGGCACTTTTGAAGTACAAAGTGTGTCTCCTTTCTGTAATGTGTGTATGCTGTGCGCGAATGGTATAATAAGTACGTAATCATGAGGAAACCTGCAAATATGACACCAGGTGTGTGTGCAGTCCGACAGATAGTCCATAGTCAGACCTGCAAACTTTGAGATTGCTCACATGCTGCTTAGTGCACAAACCACGGCACGCTGACAGAAAGTCCATAACCAGCCGAGAATCGCCGCCCGCACACGTCTCCAGCAGCGACACGTCATCAATCACGATGCACAGCTGGCCACCACACCGAGCTGGGAGTGCCACGTCAGACATCCCAGATGGTGATGGTGACGTGGCAGCTGTAGAACCAGAGTCAGCAGCATCAGGCTGAGTTGTGGCAGTTAAGTGGGAAGGGACTTTCGCATGGTTGGAAGGTGGTAGAGGAGGGTGAGAAGGGGCTGGTTGGGAGGAGTGGAGGGGGCAGCCAAGGGAGGTGACAGCAGAGCAGATGGAGGAGTAGAGAGAGCGGAGAGGGTTGGCAGAGTGATGGGAGTTTGTGCTGCTGGGAAGGGCGTGGGAAGGTGGATCGGAGGGCGGAGAGAAGGGGATTGGCGGAGAGAAACGGTACATTCCTGTCTGCTGCGGCTGCTGCTGCTGCTGCTGCTGCTGCTGCTGCTGCTTTTGCTGATGCGGCACATCCTTTTGCGGCTGACTTTCTTGTTTCTGACACACGCGTGCATGATCTAAGCCCTCAGGCTGCCATGTGTAGGCCTGTGATTGGCCGTCAATGATGGCCAGGCAATGCTGCCTGCAGAGGTCGGTGAAGTGAACGCCCTTGGGGGAAGGGGAAGTGAGAGCGAAAAGCAACATAGGAGAAGGAAGGAGACAAGAAAATTCAGAAGGAAGGAAGTAGGATGGTTTCTTTGGAACCTTAAATTAATCGGTGGAGCAAGGAAACAGGAGACGAGAGGAGAGGGAGTGGGAAAGGGAGAGGAGAGACAGGGAGAGAGAACGAGGGAGAGAGAACGAGGGAGAAGAATTGAGGAGGGAAAAAGAGTGGCATTCAAGAGAAAAGAGTGGAATTGAAGAGAAAGGAGTCGTAACTTTCCAGATTCTGGTCAGTCAAGAAACGAACAACGCATCAGACAGACAGACACCAAAACGCCTTGCTGCACAAAACACGAAAAGGCCTCACATTCTGCCTGGAAACTCGCTTCAGTGTGTCTATGCTAACAATCATAATAGAGCGTACCAAAGGCGCTGCAAAAACGTTGCAAGAAGAAGCTACCTGTGTGCGTGCGTGCGTGCGTGCGTGCGTGTGTGTGTGTGTGTGTGTGTGTGTGTGTGTGTGTGTGTGTGTGTGTGTGTGTGTGTGTGTGTGCGTGCTAGCTTGTGTTGAGTCGACTAAAAAATCAATTCACAAGGGTTGCATGCACTCACAAGGGTTGCATGCACTCACAAGGCCGATGCTACGTACCTTCCTATGCACCCATGCATAAAACCTCACCATTCTCCTTGCGATGTGAATGTAATACGACGGATGTAATGCGACGGATGTAATGAGACGGAGAGTGTGCCAATGCAACCAAACACACTGTCCTCTTTTGAGAATCCTCAAAAGCAAAATACACACACCCGCCTACCCTGAATCCTCCCTTACACTCTCCGCAAGACCCACCCGCATTGCTGTGCATAGCACCTCACCATTCTCCTTGCAACGTGAATGTAATGAGAGGGAGGGTGACTATACCATTCTCCTGGCAATGTGACTGTAATGAGAGGGAGGGTGCGCCAATGCAACCAAACACACCGTCCTCTCACACCCCTCCCCGCCTCCCCTGCACCCTTCCCCCGTCTGCCCCCCGTCCCCGCGCCTCTCCCCCGCCCCTCCCCCCTGCGAGGGCGGTGACAGCAGGTGTGATTTTAGCAGGTGCAGCAGCAGGAAGCTTCCTTCTGCTGCCACGTCATCACACAGCAGGAGGGCGGCGCCGGGCGGCACGGAGCCTGAGGGGAGAATCCCGAGGTGCGGGTTGATGGGGGACGTGGAGAAACCGGCTAGCACTGGGATAACACAAATGAGGGGGGGGAGGAGGGGAAGGTGGGAAGTGTTGAGGGGGAGGAGGGGGGCAGCCGGGCAGCACTGAGCCCGACACGGAGATCCCGAGGTGCTGGTTGATGGGGGACGTGGGGAACCCTGCTGGCATGGCAGTGAGGGAGAGGGGGGATGGGGGGCGGGGGCGAAGAAAGGGGCGGAAAGGTTGGGAGGAGTGTGTGGGGGAATCAAAGGGGACGGCGTAAGGGGGAGGGAGATCCCGAGGTGCGGGCTGATGGGGGAGGCGGGAAAGCCGGCTAGCACGGGAAGAGAGGGGGATGGGGGAGAGGGGGATGGGGGAGAGAGGGTGAGGAGGGGGATTGTGGAGGGAGATAAGTGATGGGGGGAAGGGGAGGGGCGGAATGCGGGGTACAGGGAGATCCCAGCGCGCGCATCAATCCCAGCAGTTAGGGCGCAAGCGGGAAGAGGGGGGTGCGGCACGGTGCAGGTGCTGTCATATGGACGGCAGGCGTGGCGACTGTGCACTGTGCAGGGATGGGGCGTGGTAGGATTGGGGCACTGTGCAGGTGCTACCATCATATGGACGGCAAGACTCACTAGTAACGGACATTCGCGCCTGATGCGCTCAGGGCGCGCCTTGGCGCGTCCCGGTGCGGCTGCACGAATGTCAAGCGGAGAATTTGAGCGGAAATGCCGCTGCAGCAGCGTTTCGCGCGCGCCAAATGGCTGCCTGCAGCCGCGGGCAAGCGGTGCTTCCGCCCGACGGCGCTGCGCGGCACGCGCGCAGGCACCTACGTGCGCAGCTCGGCGCGCAGGCAGCTATGCGCGCAGCTGCGCGGTCACATCGGGGCGGCGCGGGCGGCGGGCGTGGCGGGCAGCCTGAGTGGCGCGGGCGGCGACGAGGTGGCGCGGCAGGGGAGTGCCGAGTGGCGGAGAGAGCGGTGGGATGAAGGCGTAAAAACTGCGGAAAAACTTTTTGGCGAGAAGTATTGGTGCACCAGATATTGGTTTACCGGGTACCTTATATCGAGGAACAGGTTTTAGGCGAAGGTGCTCCTGGATCATGCGCAGCAAGCTCACACATCTACAATTACAGTGAATTCACAAAATTTGGAATATATATTGCACTGCCTGCGTCAGCAGGCAGTGCAATCGAGTCAGCGCGGGCAAGAAAAAAAATAAACCCCAGTCGGGGGCATGCCATCCGAGGGAGCCTCAACCCTAAAATCTTAGGGTTGAGGCTCCGAATGGCATGCCGTAAGCCATGGGTTTATTTTTTTTGCCCGCGGGCAGCGTGCTGACTCGGTCGGTAGCGCAAATTTGAACAATATGTACACCGTACACAAAATGCACATGTAGCACATCACATCTGCTCTACTGCACAGCATTATCATCAGGCTGAATCAGCACCAGTCAAATCTTTCCGCTCTCAAGCCTCCACTCAAAGACACACTCTTTCTGCGGAATCACTTCCACGATCGTCCTCCATTCCTGCCCTCCATCCCTCACCACCACGTCATACTCCCCTGCAAACCCCTCAACCACAAACCACCCCTCCTCATCCGTCCTCCCCACCACATCCCTCGTCGTCCATTCCTCTAGTAACCTATTCAGCCTTTCCCCTGCCTCCGTCAACGACCAATCAGAACGCACCAAGTGTGCGTTTTTCCTCGACATGGACGGCTGATCCGGCCCGGAACCTTCCCAGAAACCCCATAGCACCACCCCTTCCAACCCCCCATGTGCAAACGCCTCCCTAAGGCAAATCTCCAAATCATCCGCTCTCACTTTTTCGTCTGCTGAGCTCACATCTAGCTCCGTAACCCAAACTGGTAACCCTACATCTGCCAGGATATTCCAAGCATGTCTCATGTGGGCGCCAACTGGCGCGCTGATGTGGCACTGTGTGCCGAGTCCGCCAACTGGCGCCCCGCTGGCGATGAGCTGGCGGGCGAACTGCGTATACTTCTCCGGGCGGCTCTTTTCATCCTCGCCGTCCTCTATGTGGTACTCGTTGAGGAAAAGGACAAGAGATGGATCAATTTGGGCGGCGAACTTGAACATGCGAGGGACGATGGATGGGCCGCAGCGAGAGGAGAAGAACCCTCCATGAAGCATCTCGTTGTTGACGTCCATGTGGGTGAAGCAGGAAGGGTAGCGAGTAAAGAAAGATGTGATTCTGCTGTCGATGGCTTCTGTGTAGGGAGGAGGGGTGGGATAGGGGAGGTGGGGGAGAGAAGAGTGGACGGACAGCCTGCACCAGGAGGAGAAGAATCCCCTGTGCAGCATCTCGCTGTTGACATCCATGTGAGCGAAGCACGAGGGGTAGCGAGAGGGGAGAGACTTGATTCTGTTGTCAATAGCACCTGTGTTGAGGGGGAGTTGAGGGGGGAGAGGGAGGGCGGTAAATAGGAGGAGGGGGGAGTACACTGGGTTCACTACCAGGGGAAGCACCCCCCTGCAGCATCTTGTTACTGACATTCATGTGTGCGAAGCAGTAGCGATAACGAATAAGAAGAAATGTGATTCTGTTGTCAGTGGCGTCTTGATGGGGAACGAGAGGGAGGGGGTTGAGGCGAGGATAGGGAAGAGCCGATTAAGCAAAGGGAAAGCCGAGTTGGGGAGAGTGGGTAGAACCTCCATCTGGCCGCGTGTTGACATTTAAATTGACTCGAAATTCAAAAGCAGATTAAAAACGGAGCAGGTGAGGTCGGGTTGAACCTTCAATTGGGCTGCATGTTGTCCCAAAAGAGGCAGTACACCGGCATTGCCTTGCTCATGTGCAGCTGCTCTCATTATCAACACATCACACCTTCGCGGCACCGAGAGGACAGGGAAGTGGTGCTTTCTTACAGTTCTTCCATGACGCCATGGAGAGGAGAATGTAAGAACTGCACCTTTCAGGTCCCTTAGTGAGAGTCCGTCCACCCAAGCTGGGCGCATGTTCTCCCAACAGAGACAGTGCGCACGGCATTACCTTGACTCATGAGCCACACACACTGGTTAAGGTGGGCAAGTGCTCTCACTATCAGCACACACCATCAAGCCACAGGGCGATCAAAATTGGAGCGACAGGGGAAAGATAAGAAACGCACCTTTGAGGTCCCTGAGTGAGAGTTTGTCGACCCAAGCTGGTCGCATGTTGTCCCAAAAGAGACAATGCGCTCTCATTGCCGCTCCATGCTCCTGCACGCACACACGTACAGGGATATGAGACACATGCACAAGCGCGCACAGGAAGTTGCATTTACGAAGTCTTGGGAAAATGTACATGAAACTTAACATTTCTGACCTTAAGCATCAATGCTCTTGCAGTATGAAACCTCTCCTGTGGATTGATGTCACAACTCTCCAGGTACCCACCTCGCATTACCCACACAGAACAACCTGCATCTATCACCATCACCACACACACCCTCACAAATGCATCCACGCCACCATGGCATCAGCATCTGTTTTTTGAGTTTCCTCAAAACCCATCCGGTCCTGAGGGCACCCAGTGCACCCGCACCTTCTTAAGCCCTCCTCGTAACACATTCACTTGCATCCATCCATCCATCCATCCATCCATCCATCCATCCATCCATCCATCCATCCATCCATCCATCCATCCATCCGTCCGTCCGTCCGTCCGTCCGTCCGTCCGTCCGTCCGTCCGTCCGTCCGTCCATCCATCCATCCATCCATCCATCCATCCATCCATCCATCCATCCATCCATCCATCCATCCATCCATCCATCCATCCATCCATCCATCCATCCATCCATCCATCCATCCATCCATCCACCCATCCATCCATCCATCCATCCACCCATCCATCCATCCATCCATCCATCCATCCATCCATCCACCCATCCATCCATCCATCCACCCATCCATCCCCACACCCACCTGCATCCAACCCACCATGGCATCGGCATCTCTCCAATCCTCCTCCCCTCGCCTTGCCTCCACACTCGTCCATTTAAGCTCGTTCTCACACACGCCCCAGCTGAACCATGCCCCACTTGCGCTCCCACTCCCACTCCCACTCCCACTCCCACTCCCACTCCCACTCCCACTCCCACTCCCACTCCCACTCCCACTCCCACTCCCACTCCCACTCAACCCGCTTCCCTTTCCCTCACGAAAAATCTGTAGGTCCTTTTTGTTTCCTATTCCCCCTCCCTGGGCACGCGATTGGAAGAAGGACTGGTAGGTTTTGTTCCCCAGCAGGTCTCTGGCGTTCACGCAGGTGCCCAGAGGGAAGGCGCGGCGCGTCTGATTGGCTGACACGTGGGCACTCGGGATTGGCTGGCCGGTGGCAGAGAGGAGGCGGAGACGAAGCGATCCCTTGCGAAGCTGATGGGGGGGATAGGGGGTGAGGGAAAAGGAGGTGTGGTGGGTGGGAGAGGGAAGAAGAGGATGTGTGGGAGGGGGTACCGGTGGCAAAGAGGAGGCGGAGCCGGAGGGATCCCTTTCGCAGCTGATGAGATGAAGAGGGATGTGGGAGGGTGGGGAAGGGTAGTGAGTGGGTACGGGTAAAGGGTTGTGGTGGGAAGGGGAGAGAGGGCGTGGTGGCAGGGGGAAGGGAGTGTGGTGGGGGAAGGAGAGGGGGTGTGGTGGCAGGGGGGGAAGGGCAGGGGAGAGGGGCAGGGGAGAGGGGCAGGGGGAGAGGGGCAGGGGGAGAGGGGCAGGGGGAGAGGGGCAGGGGGAGAGGGGCAGGGGGAGAGGGGCAGGGGGAGAGGGGCAGCAGAGGGGGCAGGGGGAGAGGGGCAGCAGGGGAGGACATGAGGGCACATCAAAGAGCGAGAAGGTGTAGAGAAAAAAACGTGAGGGAGTGTGGAGCAGGGAGAAGGGGTGTGGGTTGGGCGGAGGGGTTGTGGGAGGGGTGGAGTGGAGGCATGGGAGCACAAGTCACACCCTACACTAAATCACTCCCCTCCACCCATCCCCACCCCTCCCCACCCATCTCCACCCCTCTCTGCCCCTCTCCACCGCTCACCATATCTCACCCTGTCTGCTTGCCACGGCACCCTCTCCCGCCAATCCACAGGAACAACCAACGGCCAGAGAAAGATGCACAAATCACACCATACATTCAACTATTCTTCTCTACCCATTTCACCCCTCTCAACCCTTCTCCACCCCTCTCCACCGCTCTCCACATCTCACCCTGTCTGCTTGCTCTCGCAGCCACGGCACCCTCTCCCGCCAGTCCACAGGCACCACGCGCACGTCGGCCAATAGGATGCTGACACCTGGCGGCGGGCCCTGCACGTACAGCACTGCTCGCCCGTACGGCTTCTCCAGGCGAAACGACCCCCAGCACCGCACCCACTCCTTCCCGGAAGCTTCCACCGACCCGGCATTCGCCCACTCCCCATCCACCCCTAAAGCGATGTTCACTGCGTGTGATCCCACCCTTCCCTCCCCTCCTTGTGCATCTTTCTCCTCCGTTTCTTCTGCCCCTCCTTCCTCCCCTCTTCTTTCCTTTCTTGCAAAGAGGGAGAGGAATTTATTTTCTCCCTGCCCGCGCTCTTTGTGCCGTCTGTCTCTCCCCACCGCACCCATGCGCTCACAGCATACGTCACAAACAGACGAATCGGCTCACCGTCAGCGCTGTCATCAGCCCAGGCAGTGCTGCTTTCAGGACTCTGATTGGCTGCTGCGATGTCCTGAGCTGGCCCATGCCACGTGGCAGTCCTACCTGTCACTTCCACGTAGGCACGTGTGGGTCGTCCAGCAAGGGGAACCGAGGATGCAGGTTGGAGCAGAGGCATAAGCGGATGCCTTGATGGCAGGCCATCATATGACGACATGAGATCATGTTGCGCAGGATAATTGTGTTGCTCCTGCTGCCGTTTCTGCTGCTGCTGCTGCTGCTGCTGCCTCTGCTCGTGCGTGCAGCTGCATCTGCCGCCGCTCAAACACGGTGCAGGGATGAGAGGCGGGCAGGGAGGACGGCTCCACCGGTGCACCAATCACAGAGCCCCACGGGCACGGCGCGTGCCACGTCAGCATCTCGCAGCCACCCATGGGCCGCCAGCTGGCAGTGCGGTGGGAGAAATCGCCGTTGAGGAGAAGGTTGGGGCGAGGGGAGTGGTGGGGAGGGTGGAGAGGGGGGAGACGAGGGACGTGGGGCACGGCGGGGCAGTTGCTGCTGCTGATACCTTCAGAGCAGCAAGAGGAGCGAGAGGAGTGGGAGTATGAGGAGGAGAGAAAGTAGCAGGAGTAAGAGGAGCAGGCATGTTCACAGCAGCAGCAGCAGTGGGTGGAAGAGGGGGGAAAGTGGGCTGTGGGTCGGATGCTGGGACTATAGCGAAGAGGCTAATAAGGAGGTCAACATTAGAAGGAGGGCCCTCAATGTAGGCTGTGACCTGATAGGGGCGATATGGGGACAAACGGGAGAGAGGGTTGTGAATGGGATGGGGATGTGGTGTGATGGGTTGCGATGAGATGCAATTGAGTGCGGGTGGGAGGAGAAGAGGAAGCAATTGCCTCATAGGGGAGATGAATTGGTAAAGCCGGGTGAATGATAGCCTGTTACACTGTGTGTGACAGGCACTCAGCATGCTCCCTCTGTTGTGCGTGAGTGGCAAAGCAGGGAGTGTGCGTGAGCGTGCAGTGCCACTCACGCTCACCCCCTTCTCATGCCCATTCACTCGGACTTTTGAGACGTCTCAAACTTCTCATGCCCCTTCACTCCTAACTCGAGTCTTTTAGAGAGCATGACTTGAGCTCTCATGCTCTTTTTCTTGACCTTTGAAGCACATGGTGTGTGCAATGGGTGCTGCACTGACAAAGTTCGCTCCCTCTCTCATAGCCCTTCGCTTGGACTAGCCTACCTGCCTTTCATCCACCCATTTTGTGGAATGCGGTGGGGAGCGGTGAAGTGGCCTTGCAGCCTCACCCACTCGCCCTCCCTCACCATGGCTCTGGTAGGGAGAAGGGCACAGGGATGGGCACAGGGTGTTATGACATGCACACACAGGCAAGCAACTGTTGAGACGTCTCGAAAGCCCATTCGCCCTCTTTCACCAAGGGCCTGTAAAGGAGAAGGACACATGGATTGGCACAGGGTGATAGGGCATGCGCTCCCTGCGCACACATGCATACAGATGCATGCACACACTTGCATGCACACACATACACATGTATGCACACACACATGTATGCACACACACATGTATGCACACACACATGTATGCACACACACATGTATGCACACACACATGTATGCACACACACATGTATGCACACACACATGTATGCACACACACATGTATGCACACACACATGTATGCACACACACATGTATGCACACACACATGTATGCACACACACATGGAGGCACACACACATGTATGCACACACACATGTATGCACACACACATGTATGCACACACACATGTATGCACACACACATGTATGCACACACACATGTATGCACACACACATGGAGGCACACACACACAGCGTGCGTGCATGCGCTTTCACATGCACACACGCACGCACCACACACGCACGCACGCACGCACGCACACACGCACGCACACACGCACGCACCACGCACGCACACACGCACGCACCACGCACGCACACACGCACGCACGCACGCACGCACACACGCACGCACACACGCACGCACACCTGCATGCTTGCTTGTATTGAGATCCTTCTGCAAAATCCCATCGCACGGTCACCAGCACTGGTACAGCCTCCCTTCCTACCTCCCCTCCCGGCCCCCTCCCTGCCCCCCCTCCCCGCCCCCTCCCTGTCTCCCTCTCTCCCACTCCAGGACCTCCGGCTGCTGATTGCCTGCCAGAGTCCCTCACGCTGATGTCAGCGGTGACTCTGTAGCGGCAGTGGGGTGTGAGACGCGTGTGAATGTCCTGTGCCATACCGTGCCATGCCTCCCTACGCCCCATCACCACCGCTGCGCACCGCTGCACACTGAGTCGACTTGGAACGTCCTGCGCCATGCCGTGCTCGGCCTTCTCGCGTGACGTACTCGCGCTTATCACGAGGCGACACGTGTCGTCGCCGCCTCGTAACGCGTACCACGCGTGGAGCCCTTCCTCGAAGAACGGGTTCCGCGTCGCCCACTCATTCACAGCCATATGCTGCCACGTGGCAGCAGCCGAAATGATCGTACCGATAGTAACGATACTGGCCTAGTCGTAGCGATACTGGTTTAGTCGTAGCGATACTGGCCTAGTCGTAGCGATACTGGCCTAGACAGCTATACCGGTAGACTCGCCCCGTCGTACCGAGCAGCAGCTGCGCGCCGATGCAGGAGAGGTTGTTGACAGGGGCAGATTGACCTCGCAAAACTCTCTAGTTAAAATTAGAATTCAATCTATCAAAACGCTAAATAAGAACACCGGTGGTTTCTATCAGCGATGGTACCATCGATTTTGCCGCCTTCAGTCGAAAACGCCATGGATTAGATGGATATGAATCATCGACATTGCTGCTAATAAGAGCGTCATGAGAAACACGGGCGAGATAATCGAGGCGTCATCCCTTATGTGAAACGATTTTCTCAATGTGAGCAAAGCGCATCTCTCTGGCGATAATTCTCGCCGTTTGCGAGGCGGTGCGAGATATCATGGATTCGTAGTGGCGAAAACGTAATCGCCAAAACATTTCAAGTCTCGTCTCTGGAAAAGTCCGGAGTTTGTACCGAGTCATTGTACGAATGAGTACACTTAGGTCGAGCCGAAATACGATATTTGTGACAGTGTCATCTTCAGTACACAGCTTCGGGTGGATCTACAGAAGACGTTCGCACTTCGGGCATTTCGAAACAACCAAGCGCCGAGTTACAAGAAATCCAACAGACCGAAAGTCTTTCCGAACTTCCACATTCCGTAGCCTGGGATCAACACACCCCACCTCCAAACCTCCTTATGTTTCAGCTCCCTCACACGCCACCGGCGAACAATGAAACCTGTTCCAACTGAGTCCTAGGAGGTCCGGTCAGTCTAGGTCTCAACGCGCGGTGAAGCGTTCAGACATGGCCTCCGTTGCCATTCCAACCATCAATCATCCCCCGCATTCCGTGCCGGCATTTCGCCCGCGTTCGCATTTCCTCGGCTCGACCAACATCCAGTTCGCAAGCTCACTGTTTCCTGTAGATTTAACGCGTGCGCGCAAAGATGGGCCTGTCAATCGTAGAATGCCACGTGGCAACCTTTCGATGTCTATAGCAGCGAAGGCGGTTTCGGAACAAACCACGTCAGCTACGCCTGCCACGTCAGCCACCTCCGTTCGTCCCAAGGCCAAAATCTGCGGTGTTACGTCCGAGGAAGACGCCGCGTTCGCCGCCGCAAATGGCGCCGCGTTCGTCGGCATGATCCTGTGGCCCAAAGCGAAGCGGTCGATCGCCTTGCCAGTGGCGGCGCGAGTCGCGGCAGCCGCGAGGTCTGGCGGCGCGGTGCCAGTCGGCGTGTTCGTGGACGAAAGTGCGGCTGAAATCGAAGCAGCTTGTAGAGAGGCCGGAGTGTTCGTCGCGCAGGTATGGCTTCTATATGGAAATGCTACTCGCCATGTCTAACTTCCCGTCGTGCAGGAGACGGGAGAGACGGGGGGAGACGGGGGAGACGGGGGGAGACGGGGGGAGACGGGGGAGGGGAGGCGAGACGGGGGGAGACGGGGGAGATGGGGGGAGGCGGAGGGGGCCAGGGAGACCGAGGAGACGGGGGAAGACGGGGGAGACGGGGGAGAAGTGGGGAGACGGCTGACTGACATAGATTAGAAAGGGGTGGTTCTGTGATCTAGTACCGACAAAGCATACGTGGAATTGAGCATCGTATGGCGCCCCCACCATCACCCAGATTGGTCATACATGTTATCTTTTCCTCGCGTGGCATGCTTATCACCCAATGCATTCCCATGCCGTCCCTCCCTCACCACCGCCTGCCCAACACCCTCTTAAAGCTCTCTCCCCCTCCCTGCCTCCCCGGCTAGACCACCAAATCCTGCACGCAGAATCACACACCACCCTGTGAACCCTGCTTTCCTCCCTACTCCTCCCTCCCCCCTCCCTTCACCTCTACCTCCCTCCTTCTCAGCTCTACGGAAACACAGCGTGTGCATCTCTCCTGCATCTCTCCTGCAGCTCTCCTGCATCTCTCTCTCCGCCCATCCCCATGCCTCAACGCACACCCCCCACTCCCCCCGGCTATCTGCCATCTTCGTCCCGCACACCACACACCACCCTGTGAACCCTGATTTCCTCCCTGCCCCCCCCCCCCCCCCCCTCCCTCCCCCCATCACCTCTCTCTCCCCCCTTATACCCCCCTTCCCCCCCCCCCTCTGTCCCAGCCACAAAAAGACACAGTACGAGCTGCCCTCCCCTCCTGGCTATCCACCGTCCTTGCTCTGCTCTGCACGCTGACTCACACGGCGCCCTGCCAACCCTGCTTCACTTCCTCCCCCCCCCCCCCCACACTCTTTCCCCGCCCCTCCTTCTCACCTGCACGGAGACACAGCGCGAGCAGCTCCCCCGCTCCTTCCTCCCCCTCGACTATCCCCCGCCTAGTTTTGAGTCGACTCAAAACTACGCTCCTTTCCCCCCATTGGCTATCCCCCGCCTAGTTTTGAGTCGACTCAAAACTACGCTCCTTCCCCCCCCTTGGCTATCCCCCGCCTAGTTTTGAGTTGACTCAAAACTACGCTCCTCCCCCCCCCTTGGCTATCCCCCGCCTAGTTTTGAGTCGACTCAAAACGACGCTCCCCCCCCCCCCCTTGGCTATCCCCCGCCTAGTTTTGAGTC